CAAGTAAAAAGTGAATCATGACAGGCTTAGGAAGGAATATCTCTGAATTTGACTTCATAAGTAAACTTGGACCAGTTTCTCAAAAGCATTTCAATTTTCAAGAGTAAGTTCATGGACAATTGGACATCCCCTTCACATGCATGTCAACTTTTCAACGGAATGTTCACATACTAAGACATGATGTTTTAGTGAAACTGCCCCGTGGTCTATTCTTACCTTGCCTATTCCACATCGGGTCAGCATTTCAGCAGTGACACTTCCTACACCTCCAACACCAACCACAGCGACTGTGAAGTCTCGGATTCTCTGTACACACAATCAATGGTCAAGAATTATTTGCCGAACTCCATAATATCATTATTTTCCCTATCAATTCTTTACCCTCTCCCTCTTTATCCTCTTCCAACTTCTCCTATTTCTGCTGACAATAATGTGTTGTTGTTTAGAGCCAAAGTCTCAATAGAAATAGATAACAACAAGTTAATGAAAAAGAGAGAGAGAGGGAGAGAAAGGAAAACAATTTTCATTTACATGTATGTATTATAGATAGTTGAATAATTAGAAGTACGGGGTATATTTATAACAGACATACATTTAGCGTAACCAATTTCCTTTGTACTACTTTTGAAAAAAATGATTCAAGTTATTGTATTCATTTAATAAATTTAACTTAACCCTATGTTAACTGGGGGGGGGGGTCAATTTGACCCCCCCTGTAGAAATTTCGCGACTACTCCGAAACCGCGGCAGATATAAAATTTTCCTTTCACGACTTTTTACTTTCGAGTCTTACGCATCTTTTAAAACAATTTTTTCGAAAATCGGACCTACGGTTACAAGGTCACGTGACCTTTTGTCTTTGCATGTCAGCCCGAAAATCGCTCATTTTCATGATTTGTGTACAAAACATATGCAAAAGTCATTTTTCCTAAAAATAGATAAAACATTGGTTATTGAGTCTTGTTTTAAGTTTAGATGTTTGTTTTGGGGTCAAAATAGTTGAATTGTAGTTATAAATGAAATAAAACAACAAAAACAATAAAATACATAAGTTAAAAAAACAATGAAATTATCAAAACAAGAGATAACATAAGGAATAACCTGGCTCTTCCAATTTTGTGTGTTGTATTATTATTCCAAATGGTCTAATAAATATATGTAGTGAAAAAGAATACTTAAATATGAATAATCTATGATTTATGGGCAGAAATGTGAATTTTATGACCTTATTGCATAAATTAGCATAAATATGCAAATGAGTAAATTTTTCAAAAATTTGAAATTACCATAGTATTCTTTACACTTCACTTGACATGCATGCAAATTTTCGCGGCGATCTGCGGTGAAACGGCCGAGATCTTAGGGGGGGGGGGGTCAAATTGACCCCCCCCCCCCAGTAAAAACCTGGTCTGAAATAGCCCAGTTAAGGGTTAAAATCTACTTACCTCATAATTATCAACAATGCCCATTCGCTTCAATGCCATCAGTCGACTGTTGATATGAATACAAAATAAATACAAATATTGATTTTTAAATCTGGCAATGTCTGGAAACAAACAAACTCAAATACACTTCTGTCATCTGAGAGGCGCATAATTATGGGTATCATTTAATTTTTAATATGTATCTACATGTAGCTGTAAATCTAGGAATCAAATGCAAGTCTCTTCAATTGCCATATTCAATTATTCATAGAATTATACTTTTCTAGTTTTCTACAATTTGTACAAATTGTTATTTTTCCAAGATTTCAAAGATTACTCATAATTTTTTCATATCACAGATGTGGATACTATTAAGTAGATAACTGCAAAACATGTTTTTACAAACTCTTCCAAGCAGACAGATTTTTCTGTCTGTACATATACTCACAAAGAGCAGTAATGTAAGTATACTTTTTGTGTATTAAGAACTTTTTAGAGGACCTCTATTAATTCTCAACATTTCACTGGCAAGTTTGACACACATAGAAATTTTAGCTTACATTTAGGCATGCGCAAAACGCTTATCCGATCTCGGCAAAATTGCAGCCTCATATTCCTAAATTGGTGCCGACAAGTTCCCTTCTAGTTGGCTATCACTGGTTGCCATTTGCTCAATGTTATAAGATATTGGTGCGAGGAGAAAGCTTGCGATTTCCCGTTTGATCCGATACCATTATCATGATATTTCACTCAAACCCTCTATTTTTTCAGCATCCTTAACAGGTTAAATATTTCACTTAAGTTTAAGTCTGAAATAAGTATTTTTTAAGTTTGAACAATTCTCATTTCCGTCATATTTAAGGTACAAACTGGAAATTTATACTGAGATGCTTGTTGATTTTTCTATTTTATGTGTTTGCAATGCAGTGTGTGGGTCAGTTATGTGTGAAGGGCGTCACCTGTTTGCAGGAAGTGTCAAAATCTCTGTGGTGTGACGTAATCTTACGTATTGACTTTGCCATTGAACTTAAGTTGCGCTTAAGTTAAGTAGGCCCTCTATCACTTAAAATTGAAGCCACTCGAGCGGTTCGGCCAATGAGAGCACGTGAACTCACTGTACAGCGCTCAATGCGCAAGTTCTCTTTTAATTTTCAAAATATTCTTTCTAACAATCGGTAAGTTAAAAAGATTGTATTTCAATGCTAATTAGTCTAGGTGTCATCAATTGTCACTAAAGTACCGATTTCGAGTGAACTGACTTGAGTTTTGTACAGTGGTGTTTGACATGTTGAGAATCTATGCAGTCTAGATCTAGTGTCCAGTCTATTCTAGGGTATTCTAGAGAACTCACTGAAAGAGAAACCAAAGAAATTTTGGTCTTACATCAGCAGCCTCAAGAAAGACGCCAATGGTATACCAACTTTGAAAACAGATCACGGACCAGCGACAGACAGCAAGATGAAGGCAGCAGCACTGAACCAGCAGTATCAGTCAGTATTCACAAAGGAAGATACTAACCACGTCCCAACCAAGGGCACCAGTCAACATCCATCTATGCCATGCATCGAGTTTAATACTGATGGAATCAAAAAGCTGTTGGAGAACCTAAACCCAGGGAAAGCTCCGGGACCAGACCAGGTACCAATACGCATTCTGAGAGAAGCTGCACAACAGATAGCTCCCGTTCTTCAGGTCATCTTTACTCAATCCTATGTAACTGGAACCTTGCCTCAAGATTGGCTCACAGCAAACATTGTAGCCATCTACAAAAAGGGTAATAGAAGCCTCCCAGTGAATTACCGCCCAGTGTCCTTGACGTGTGTAACAACTAAACTGATGGAACATATTATCTTCCACTCAATCATGGATCACCTGGAATTGCACACTCTACTCCAACATTATCAACATGGATTTCGGAAACAACATTCCACCGAGTCGCAGCTTGCTATAACAGTCGAAGAAATAGCGAGGGCTCTGGACCATCACCACCAGATTGACATGCTGATACTCGACTTCTCCAAAGCTTTCGACACGGTACCACATCAGCGCTTACTGGGGAAAATAGACAACATCCGAGACAACACCAAGAACTGGATAAAGACCTGGCTGACTGCCCGGACACAACGAGTAGTTGTTGATGGAGCAGCATCGGAAACCATAGATGTTGAATCAGGGGTGCCGCAGGGGACAGTTTTAGGGCCGCTGATGTTCCTACTTTACATCAATGATATTGGAGAGGACATTAGCTCAACCATTAAGCTCTTTGCCGATGATTGCCTCCTGTTCAGAAAGATCGACAAAGATGAGGATGCCCAGGATCTACAGAAAGACCTTCAAAAGCTGCACAAATGGGCTGAAAAGTGGCAGATGCTATTCAATGCGAAGAAGTGCTACAGCATGAGAATTCATCGCAAGCAGAAACCCATCATCCTTAACTACACCATGGGAGATGAGGTGCTCGCCGCTGTTTCCAGCCAGTCTTACTTGGGGATGGAGATCCATGAAAAACTTAGCTGGAAACATCACATCAAGGCAGTCGCAGCCAAAGCCAACAGAACACTGGGATTCATTCGAAGAAATCTCAGCCTATGCTCATCTGCCATCAAGAAACAGGCATACACAACACTAGTCAGATCACAACTAGAATATGGGGCAGCTATATGGGATCCATATCGGCAAAACCTGATAGATAGCCTTGAGAAAGTTCAGAGGAGGGGGATACGCTTCATCACAGGGAATCACAGCCGAGAAGACAGCGTCACGGCTATGCGATTGAACATCGGACTCCCAACTCTACAAGAGCGACGACTGGAATCACGTCTAGCCATGATGTACAAGATCCTCCACCACCAGATAGCCATCCCTCTTCCAGATTACATCTCACAGAAAGACAGAGCTACAAGGAGTCAACATCACCTTCGTTTCACCAGACTTGGTACATCCTCCGATTCTTACAAATACAGCTTCTTTCCTCGCACCATGAAAGACTGGGATGAGCTTCCTACAAATATCATTGAACTGCCCACATTGAAGCAGTTCAAGGAAGCCATCAGCTGCGAATAGTCACAGCATCATCATTATTTTTTATGATTTTTATGATTTTTATCATTTTACTAATTGCACCATAAACATGTATATATTTCGGCACAAATTTACACAAGCCGTCCACCGTCGGCAAAAGATCACCCTTGTCTAGATGCTGAACAGGCTTTGACAAGTAGTAGAATAGAAGTAGAAGTCTATATTACTTAATGACTTACACAAAACCTAATGTATGGGACACTAATTTGTTTACCTGTATGGATTACTGTCAACTACTTCCGAGCTCATCGTCTCTATTTTCTGTCTTCCTGCAGAAGAAACATTTCTGTCCTTCTCTGCTTGTAGTTCCTCTTCCAATTGTTGGATTTTAGCACGAAGTTCTTCAACACTGGCCATTATATTCGTACTTCTGTTCAAGGAACGAAAACATATGCTCAAGTTTCTGAAGTTTACGTGTCAATGATCACCTCGCTTCCTTCTTAGAAAATCATATTTAAAATAATATTTCACCGTTGAATCATCCACAAAACAATGGATACGAATATTGAATGATGATTCCACCTAAAGTTTTTCCATCACCGGGAATAACCTTGTAATCGAGTCAAACTTTGGTACTAAAATGAAGCATAACGTTTGGTAAGTTTTGCTGCCCCTCTCATTACAGCCCCATGTGTTGAAAATAGACGTAGTGTAGTCCCAAACGGTATGTTTTGTGTTAGTTTGACATATGTTGATGGGCGTGGTCAATACGACCAACTTTTAAGGTATGAATATTCCTAAATGTTTGTAAATTTGTTTAAAAAGAATTATTTTGTCATACAGTGCGTCCCAGAAAAAACGGACAATTATCGATGCTAGTTTTATCATAACTTTATAAAGTCTAGAATAGACCTAGATCTATCACAATTATTATTAGACCCCTAATTAGATCTAATATAAATAATAAATAACGCATAGAGTCTATTTGTAAAGCTTAGATCCTCCTCTTTCATTTGGTGCAAATCATTTGATGCATATTTCACGCATGAGTGATTAAAACAATTTGAAGAGAGGGTACGTACCAAAAAGTCATTTGGCGTGCGGTATCTGAATTTCAAAGAGAAAATCACAAATTTAGAAAATTCAATTTCTACCCTTTCATATGACACCCCAATCAGGAAAAATGAGCCAGGAATAACAAAGTTCTTTTTGTTTAAAGTGATGCTTGCATTTCCATAATTTGATAAAACAAATTCTTTTTCACTGGCTGCCTGCCGTAGCAACAAACTGAGTTGATAAAAGACTTTAACTCGATCTGCTTCGTTGATGATCTATCATGCGTACATGCGTCAAGTCTTTCATCTTCTTTTTGAATGGCTGATCGCACACAATATAAAGGTAGGTCATAAAAACTTGGTAAATTGAAACATGAAAGCAGAGCTGAGCAAATTACATATACATGAAATCATAACATTACAGTTGTTGCAGCTGGGTCCCGGGAACACAATAATTCCTGCCCTAAGAACAAAATTGTATCACATAAAAATTACTATTACAAAATATGAAATATCAAAAAGGCATTCCTTTTATTGATACAAACATAAGACAATTAAACAAGGTTATAGGATAAAGGTGCATGGAAAACAAATTACATAAAAGAACAAGACGAAAAAATACAAAGACAAGCCATATTGTTCAGCTATAACATTTTGAGTTTCAAGTGAATTACAAATCACCAGGACACAATTTATATTTTTGGTGCCAGAATTTTGTTTTGTCTTCTTTTTTTCAGTATGGTGTCAGACTTTTTCTTCCCTAATACTGGAGGTGTTGAGAGTCATATCTATCAGTTATCACAATGTTTGTTAGCCAGAGGTCATAAGGTATGTATCGACTTTATGTAAAAAATGTGTAAGCATTGTATAAATCATGTCACATGAACTGAATAATTAAATCTTGTATTCTATTCGGTAGTGATTTTTTTTAGAAATTTGCTATCAGTCATATATTAGCATTACACACATTGGAATATATACAAGACCTATTTTTCATCTGGATAATGGTCAAGTTCAGCTTAACCTATTGACTTCTGAAATTCTCTCATTCTGTATCTTTAGGCTTAATATAGTAGCCACCCAGTTCCTGTGGGTAGGGGGGGGGGGGCAACAGATAAATCAAATTTAAAATTCATACGGTGTATAAAACAAATTGATGATATGTAAAACATATAACATTACTTATCACAAATGAATTTTTTTTCTAATGATTTGTCATTTATTGCAAATTGTCATGATTGGGATTATTCAGTATAAAAAGGCAACTTCCGGTCTCTTTTCCTGCGTACTCCATACTGAGTAAGGTCATAAAACAACTCTGGGCTGTTTGTGGAAGAAGCACCATAAATTTGAATACAATTATGAACATATCTGTGTCAAATTATAACTCTTCTTTTGTATCTCAGGTGGTTGTGATCACCCATGCATACGGTGAAAGAACAGGGATCAGATACCTTACAAACTTTCTCAAGGTAGGAGTATTTTTATACATTATAACAGTTCTATAACAATAACATTCTAGAGAGCAGTTATTTCAATAATGAGCTTCCTTTGAACTTAAAAAACATCATTATTACTACATTTTGTATAGATTCCCCTCTGCCATATTTTTCACTGATTTTTTAAAGCAAAATCCTCAAACTTCGGCTAGCAATTATTAACATGAGTTTTCATTATGATGTTGGCCTTCTTACTCCCCTCTAGGTATATTACTTGCCATTCGGTCCATTCTACAATCAGTGTGTCCTACCTACGGTGTTTACAACCCTGCCTCTTATTAGGAATATACTCATCAGAGAAAACATCACCATCGTTCATGGTCACTCAGTAAGTAATATGTGTTCAGTGTTTTTACTTATGTTTTTATGTTAGATTTTAATATCTTGATACTGTATTTGATGGAGTAATTTCTTTAGCTGCTCACTCAGTAAGCTATATTGGGATGGTATGTGAAGCGAGTAGCTACAAGGATTGTCATGAAGTCCAGAAATGGTAGTGGACAAAGCACTTATCAATTTACAGTAAAATATGCTAAGTCCAGTGCAAGTGAAAACTATGCCAGTATACAGTGTAGATATCCATTTTTATTCAATGAAATGATGATTGAAAAACGGACTCTGAAGCAAATTAATGTATTTGAAATATCAAATTCATTATTTATCCATTTTGCTAATGTGACAGTTTAATAATTAATATATTTATACATGTAGCCTTTTTTTGATATTTTTTTCTGAGGGTTAAACCATTTGTAAGACCTTGTTGCTATAGATTTATCTATGTTTACTTGGATGGAAGGTTAAAGAAGCTTGTGCACATTTTTTTCCATTCATTTCAACAAACTTTTAGATGCGGAGCAAGAAGCAACGAAAAAAGGAGAGTATATATTTGCAGGGATTGAAAGTATTCTATGTATCATGTCAATAGTTTCAGAAAGATACATGTAGGTTAAACAGGAGTGGGATAGGGGAGACAATTAGAAGGTTATTTTCTCCATAATGTACATAGTTTTTTAGTTCTTGATCATGTATTAAGCTTCAAGTTGTATCTCTTTCTTTTTAGTCCTTCTCTACAATGGCCCATGAAGCCATGTTTCATGCTAAAACCATGGGTTTAAAGACAGTCTTTACAGACCATTCTCTCTTTGGTTTCGCTGATGCAAGTTCCATCATCACCAACGCCATCCTTCAATTCTCATTGGCTGATGTCAATCATGTGATCTGCGTGTCACACACAAGGTTGGTGATAGAAAGTCTATTTCTTTACTTATTTCTTGTATTTGCAGTGATTTCTTTTTAAACATTCATTTCAATCAATTATGGAAACATTACAAAGTCTTTTTGCACTTATATTGTTTGGCATTGTATGCCTTTCTGGCCGGCTCTTGGCAGACAATATGAGCTATTCTCACAAGACATATACAATAGTTGCTATATAATAATAATAATAAGGTAAATTTTAACGTGTCTAATACTATGTTTCTAGGTGCTATGCATGGTGCTGTTGTCCTTGCATAGTACTTCTACCCAATAGAGAGCTAGGTAAACAGCACCAAACTTTAACAATGTTGCATAATAAACAATATAAAATACTGATGATTTTTATATGAATTACAGAATTGTAATTGAAGATATAACCAGAGTAGAAATACACTGTATAATTTATTTTGTTCACAAGACTAATAACATTTTTTAAACATCTTTGAAACAAAGAATAATTTTTAAATTACTCTTGATAGGACATTTACTGTATCTGCTTCAAAATACTGGAATGATCTACCACTTAGAATTATACAGTCTTCATCAGTTATTAGGCCTTGAAAACACAACTTTTTAGCAGTTTGTAGTTGTAAAATTGTGTTTTATATTACATGGATATATGTAATTATCATTTACTTTTACAAGCGCTTTGTGCCTTATGTGTGTTATAAGTAATAATAGTAATAATTTGTTTTTCTCATCATAGTAAAGAGAACACTGTCCTGAGGGCATCTATGTCACCTAGTCTTGTCTCGGTCATACCCAATGCTGTGGATCCTACTGTCTTTAAACCTGATACATCCAAGAGGAAACAAGATAGAAGTGAGTAAGAGTGAGAGAGAGAGAGAGAGAGAGAGAGAGAGAGAGAGAGAGAAACAGACAGACAGACAGACAGAGTGTGTGAGAGAGACAGAAAGGTAGACAAAGAGAGAGCGAGAGAGATATTCAGAACCACACACAATTAAACAATAGGAGAGAGATCAAGTGATGTGTGCCACAAAGAGAGAATATAACTGAAAAGTAGTGTAGGACAAGTGAAAGACAGTAGATACAGTATTGGAGAATGTTATGTGACTCGGAATGATAATGCATTGAATTTTAAATGAAATAGCCACAAAAGAAAGTAGAATAGATGACATTTATTGAGAAATTATGGTTTAAATGGTCTAAAGGATACCTGCGCATCGACTTTGATTGTTTCTTGTGGAATAAAATATGATTATGGACATAATATTCCATTTTGAACATATCTGAGGAATACTTTCAGGATGATTTAAATGGTTGAAGAGTGACATTTAAGATATAAAAATGCAGTAGTATCCAGAACAATATTGAAATGTGTTCAGAAGTATTAATCACTGGTTGTTATTCTCCAATCATAGGAAAATGTAACTAAACATCTCTTTATTTGTATTTTGTTTGTTTGTAAAGTAACGATTGTGATAGTGAGTCGTCTGGTGTACAGGAAAGGTATGGATCTACTTGCTGCCATCATACCTATCATATGTAAAGCACATCATGATGTAGACTTCCTCATTGGTGAGATCCCAGTCCTTCTTCTATTTCTACTAACTCTCTACAGACTCATTTAACCCATTGCACACTGGAACTGTGTGTCTCCTGCATCAAGCCTATGGGAATTAAGTAGTCAATTGGTTAAAAACTAATTTAAGAAGATCATGGAACAGTGATAATTATATATGAAAAGCACATTTTATAACAAATAGAATATTAATATTATGTTTTCTTAACAAAGGGTCCTATAATAATAATAATAATAAGAAGAAGAAATTACTGCCATAAATTGCATAATGCCTCTATCTGTTTCAATACATAAGTATAATATTTCAAAGTAAGCAAACTTTGTTTGAATTTGCTGTTTATTTCTTTTATGATTTAATGTAATAAGAGAATTTCCTTCATTTTGGAAATTAAAGCTCTAGATAGTGAGAAAAAAAAGAAGAAAGAAGAAGCATATTTCAGTTATTATGTGACTTGAATAGGTAGAGGTTACGCCAGATTTATTCAGAGAGTAATATTGAGATACACCCCAAATGAAAGAATCTTTGAATGCTTCGTAAATTCAGATTTTTTTCTTGTATTTTTTAGATTCTATTTCATATGATGTATTTGCAAATTTATATGTTCATCTGTTCCTGTGTACCCTCTGCAGGTGGAGATGGGCCGATGAGAATCAATATTGAAGAAGTAAGAGAGCGTTACCTGCTTCAGGAAAGGGTCACTATGCTGGGGGCTGTCCAACATTCAAATGTCAAAAACGTGAGGATGATATTCAGTCAAGCTTTTACTACTTTTCTCCCCCTCTAATTCTTGTTCTGTATTGTGAGCTTAATAATAATAGTGCATGGTTGGTTTGAGTTCTTGATACCATTCATGGTTTGGATCCAATCTAAAGCTCTAAGGTACATGAAAGTATGCATGGTATGATACACCATATAATATCTGTGAAAACAATCTGCACATTTTATTTGAAAATGGAACCGTTTACCTTTGTGACTTTTCTGCATGCTCTTTGTTTGTTGCACAGAAACCAAAATCTAAAAGTATTTTGTTGTGCTTTTCCTGACAATTTGTGACAATATGACAATAATGTGAATAAATCTTCTCTTTTTGCATTATAATATAGGCACTATTGCCAAAACAATACTTGTATTTTGCCATGTTTTGACCCAACTGAAGTTATATCTGGTAAATTGATTTTATATTGATACTTACTATATCAGGTGCTGAACCAAGGAGACATATTCATCAATGCATCACTCACTGAAGCCTTCTGTATAGCCATTGTGGAAGCAACTCTGTGTGGGTATGTTTGCATAAAGATCTTGATTTGTCTCTTTTCTTCAGTTGAATAATTGGTTCTAAGGTGTGTTTGAACCATATCTTGAAAGTGTCAAATTGTTTTGATGTCTTCCAGTGTCTCAGACTTAAATAGGTTGTTTCAAAGATTTGAGGCAGTACTCTAGAAGCCTTATCAGAGATGTTAAGGAATTATAAAGACAGGAAGAAAGATTAGTTTGACCCTTTTGTATTTTGTGTGATCGTTTGGATCGATTAGAAAATGAGGATTATAAAGTACATTATTAGTTATGATATGTGGAGTTGCTGTGGTTTAATAGATACATGTAATGTATGTCACTTGAATGTGGCTCAAATGATACATGCTTGCTTCTTGAATTCACTTCTTAAGAACCTAGAAATATCTGTGACAGCCTTTTTGAATTGAATTTTCAGTTCCATGCCTTTGATGAGGAATGCTGCTTTGGGAGTAATACGAACCCAACAACCCTGATAAAAATGTTAGCACCGTGAGCAAATTTTAGGAATAGATGTGTACATTTCACATTTTTATCTACCAATGTCTGTACGGAGACGGAGGATATTTCTGGGAAAGTATGGTATGAGTGCAATCATCAAAAATAATAATAATAATAATAATAATAATCTTTTAAAGTCCACTCCAAATTTTATTAAGTTAAACCCAAAATGGAAATCATCATCATCATTTATTAAAGTCAGCATTTTCCCTCTTACAAGGGTTACTGACTTTCGCGCCATGATAATACTCCCTCCCTCCACTTCTCAAGTATCCTCTACATTTAGACGAACCTTACGCCTTTCTTTCTTTAAACATATCTTTCCATGAAATCTTCTGTCTTCCTTTCCCTCTTATGCCATCTACTTCCAGATCTCACGCTCTTTTCACAGGTTCATCATCTTTCCTTCTCAAAACATGACCTATCCATCTCAATCTACTTCTCTTTACTACTTCCACCACTGTTTATTCCAGACTCAAATAGTGTATACCTTTACTTCTATGGAATGGCTAGACTTTTAAATTGTTTTCTTCTTTACTTACCAGATTACAGGTTGTGAGTACGAGAGTAGGAGGAGTGCCTGAAGTCTTGCCTGAAGATCTTATACTACTTGTTGAACCTAGTGTGAAAGGTATGTAGGTCAATCGTGTGACTCCTAAACCTGGGGAGTGTTTCACAAAGATCCTATTAAAGTTGGACTTAACAATTATGGAAAGCTGTTGGCATCTATGAAAATATTTATAACAGTTATTTTAAAGGCATAAATTGTTGATACATATTTTCTATTATGAAGGAGATTTCATGTTCTTGATGTGGAATTTATACAAAAGTCTAAAATACTTGAATTTTCGCTTTTGCATATATTTTATTTTAAGGCTACAAATGTCTCTCTATAATTTTTAAGTCCAACTTGGAGTTACGTTTGACTTAGAATCTTTGTGAAACACCCCCCTGGGATAACTTGGCATTGAAATATAGATCAAATGAAAGTAAATATCTTTAGAAGATTATGATATTTATATGTTCGTATACTTCATATAATTCAATACAAGGTCTAAACACTGTTAGATAGAGCGTGCATAATATCCTAAATTTTAATTTACCTGCATGGTTTAAAAGGTTCAGTTCAGTTCAGTTCAGTTCATTTTATTCAAAACCATACAAAGCATGATATAATCTGTTACATAAAAAAGAGACTGGTAATAGTACATCAATCAACATATTCTAACTTGATTACATCATAAACTGAATGGTTTTAGGACCCCTTTAGAAGCTAAGCTTGTGAGCGGGGCCCTATAACAAAATACATACATTTACAGTAAAAAGAATGTTACGTATGATTATACAATGGATGAAAATACTAAGCTACAGAATATAGAACATACAAATACTCTCACACACACACACACAGACACCACACACGCACATCACCATACACAGCAAACACACTGACGAGTAGGTCCTTAGTGGTCAAAAAGCATTTCAGAATGAGAAATTACTAAGATGCGAATATTGTCAAGTGTAGAGACACACATACATTTTTCTTTCTCCTGACCAAGATATATGACAAGATCCTGTTTTACTGCATTTCATAGGGTGATTTCCTATTTATCCATGCTAATTAAAAGATGCTTATTGGTGTTATTTATCAATTGATCCTTTTAATACTTGAGGAGACAGCCAACAAACATCGTTGTTTTTATTCCACCCCAGGTATCTTGAGTGGATTAGAAGAAGCCATATCAAGAAGAAGAATGGGAACCTTTCTGTGTCCTGAGGCCGTCTATCAACGCATGGCTCATGTCTATACCTGGCAAAATGTTGCCAAGAGAACAGAGAAAGTAAGTTGAGTTTTAAGGGATTCATCACTAGATATGGACTATTGCTGTTGTGACCCTTTTTTTCTTTTCTTTTCTTTTTGTATGTGGATTATTCATAATAATATTAACTCATGATTTTTTTGTATATCCTTGTATCACATTTGAACCTGAAAATCTTCAAAAGAATTTAACCCCCCCCCCAAAAAAAAAAAAAAAAAAAAAAAAAAAAAACATGGTAGCATTATGCTTTTGATGAAATCATAATTTTGTCCCCTCTATCATTGCCACCATGGTCAATAAACATATTCCTATTATTGTTATTTCAAGAGAAAATATCACATAATCTGCAGCATCATTATCATGATCTTTGTTGTTATAATTATCATGAAACATAAACATTCCACATTTGATTTTTTCTTCTATTGTAACTGCCATTTTTATGTATCTTTATATTCTGTATCCCGGTCATCATCACATGACCATCAGACGGTTGGATATTTGTATTCACTGTTAATGATTGTTATGTGGGTAATTCCATAAATTAGGTTTGTGACATAAGGAACCCACACGTATTTGTGGCTCTGAGTTGAAACTAAATTAGTGGAGTGAGATTGTTAATTGATTCTAGGTATGAGGATGTAATATTATGCTTGGAAATTACTTTACAATCTCACTCCACTATTTAGGTCTTTACTCAGAGTTACAAATATGTGTGGGTTCCTTATGTAAGTGGGACAACAAAAATGTCACAAAGTGGGTCCCTAATTAATGGAATTACCCATGTGTATTTGTATGTTTGTTCAGGTTTATGATAGCATATTGAATGATGAAACTCTTAGCCTATCACAACGATTTGAGTGCTACTACAAGTGTGGACCAGCAGCAGGAAAATTCTTTGTTCTTCTTGCAGCGATCAACTTCATTTTCTTCTGGTTCTTGGAGTGGTTTTGTCCGAGAGAGGTAAGGCGTCTTTACCTCGCTACCTTGTTCTAAAGGTATCAAGTTCTCAGGTTTAAAAGTCTGCCCCCAGTATATGTGTAGTGTTCCAATAAGATTGTCAAATGTCAAAGAAGAATATTTTCTGTCATTACAATCTTACAAACTGTGAATAATCCAGTATCTAATGTAGATACAATCTTCAAATGTGCAGACAAATGTCATTTGTGCCAAATGTGTAAAACCCACAGAAATTAATACCGGTTAGGCGGGCTCATGAAAGTTATATATTCATTATTCATTTATACATCAATGTTTCATTCCATGATGCACGGATGGAAGTATTTTTCTCAGAAGGAAAAACAAAATTTATGCATGAAGCAAATCCATCTCTTTGAGAGTGATATAGTGGAACCTCTCCATATTTAAAAGATCTGGGGATATTAAGAGTCATTTTTACCATATGTAAACAACAAACCGATGTGTGGTCTTGGGGTCACTCAAGAAAAATGTCTCTTGTCGGAGTTCAATTCAAGAGCCTCCAGATTTGAGTCCTAGTCAGATGTTTATGTTCTTAGTAATAGACAAGATAGTTTTTATTATGCCTCCGCCACCGAAGGTGGTGCCGGAGGCATCATGTTTTCGGGTTGTCCGTCCGTACGTCCGTACGTCCGTCCGTCCGTACGTCCGTCCGTCCGTACGTCCCGTTTGACCGTTATCACAATATCTCAAGAACAATTTAAGATTTAAACTTAAGACTCGGGAATAGTATTTATCACCATAGGAAGACGATCTGATTAGATTTTGGAGTACGTAGGTCAAAGGTCACAGGTCACAGAGGTCAACTTATGAAATTCCTTGTATTGAGTTTGTTAGCGCGATATCTCAAGAACCATTTGAGATTTAAACTTCAAACTTAAGGATAGTATGTATCACCATAGGAAGACGATCTGATTAGATTTTGGAGCATGTATGTCAAAGGTCAAGGGTCACAGAGGTCAACTTATGAAATTCCATACATTGAGATTGTTATCATGATATCTCAAGAACCACTGGAGATTTAAACTTCAAACTTAGTGATAGTGTGTATCACTATAGGAAAACAATCTGATTAGATTTTGGAGCACGTATGTCAAAGGTCAAGGGTCACAGAGGTCAACTTATGAAATTCCATACATTGAGATTGTTATCATGATATCTCAAGAACCACTGGAGATTTAAACTTCAAACTTAGTGATAGTGTGTATCACCATAGGAAGACGATCTGATTAGATTTTGGAGCACGTAGGTCAAAGGTCAAAGGTCACGGGCCCATTATGTATGCAAAAATAGCTTGTGAACGCATTCTCATTAGAACTGACAGATGGATTACTATTTAACTCAGAACATCTTGCAGAGCCAATGAACTGAGTAGATTTTATGGTCATGAGGTCAAAGATCAAAGGGTCATATATGTATATGAGAAATTGCTTGTAATCACAATATTCTGAGAACCTGTCAATGGATTACCATTGAACGTGAATTCAATTTTTTTTTTCTGTTTTGGTTTGTAAAATTGCTCTTTAACGGAGGCATCATTTTCGACTGCGCGCAGTCGAATTCCATCTAGTCTACAACTGTCTTTCATCCAGATTCAGTAAATAGCTATACTAGCAGGAACAAAGTTGTAGAATATTTTCTATCTAAAATACAAGGGTGATAGAAAAAAGATGAACATCATCATAATTATTGTTTTACGTCCATTTTTTCTCCAAGCATTCCGGTCTTTAGTATCCACTTCGGTAAGGCCAATGGCTCTCTTCTTATGTCTTCTTCCAAGATTTGCAAGCATCTGGATGTAGAGACCCATGCAGGGCCACCCATTCTTTATTAACCACTAGTTCGGGATGATGAGTAGAAATATTTATATTCAATTTACCAATTTTGAACTTGTTTTCTTTGCATTGCATTACTTGATAGGATATTGACATGGTCCCTGGATTGCCAGAAGCACAGTCATTGACCAAAGGAACGGAATGCCCTTCTGCTACCACTAGGACTTTAGATCCTTCTGCAACTAAAGACTATCCTGCATTGAGTCACAGAGTAACAAGGTCTAAGGCAAGGAGAAAGCAAGTTGTACAGAGTTGATAGAGGACTATCAAGAGACTTTAGATCCTTCTGCAACTGAAGTCTCTCCTGCATTGAGTCACAGAGTAACAAGGTCTAAGGCAAGGAGAAAGCAAGTTGTAAAGAGTTGATAGAGGACTATCAAGAGACTTTAGATCCTTCTGCAACTGAAGTCTCTCCTGCATTGAGTCACAGAGTAACAAGGTCTAAGGCAAGGAGAAAGCAAGTTGTACAGAGTTGATAGAGGACTATCAAGAGACTTTAGATCCTTCTGCAACTGAAGTCTCTCCTGCATTGAGTCACAGAGTAACAAGGTCTAAGGCAAGGAGAAAGCAGGTTGTACAGAGTTGATAGAGGACTATCAAGAGACTTAAGATCCTTCTGCAACTGAAGTCTCTCCTGCATTGAGTCACAGAGTAACAAGGTCTAAGGCAATGAGAAAGCAAGTTGTAAAGAGTTGATAGAGGGCTATCAAGAGACTATAGATCCTTCTGCAACTGAAGACTCTCCTGCATTGACTCACAGAGTAACAAGGTCTAAGGCAAGGAGAAAGTAAGTTGTACAGAGTTGATAGAGGGCTATCAAGAGACTTATACAGTTATCCTTAGTTGACAGTGAGAGACTCAGAGGATGGACCACATCTTGCAGTGCGGCGGAACGGGTTGCACAGATGAAGACCTGGCCCTTGTGAATGAAACGGCCATTGCAGCAATCGGGCGGTGGAAGAACTTAATTTAATTTAATTTAATTTAATTAAGGAACTTTACATAACTATCTTAATCTAAGGAGACACGAACAAACAAAGTGTAGGTATGTATTGAATACCACTACTCACTTCCATGCCATGGATGGCAAATCTTTGCCGAGAATTGAATATTTTATTTAGACTCAGAATGGCTGCATTTCCCCCTTAAAACAGAATCAGGTACCTTCATTGTAAAGTTGAAGTATGTATTCTATACCCAGTTTGCTGATGAAACAAATAATTTTCATGGACCATATTCAATGCTTGATTTAATGAAAATTAACTGCATTGTCATCTGGAAACTTTTTCGCAAATCATGAGAAATTGAAAAAAGAGGTTGCATTATCATCAGTGTATTTTTTCTAAAAGCACAAGATGTGCTGATGTTTTGTTTTGTCTTAAATCTCTTCTTACAAAGAATGATTAATATTAACCTTTACAAAGTCTTCTATTAGTCTTGAAACAATATAAAGGTTCAGATTTATATGGCCAGCCCAGACAACTTTAACCTTCATTTCAATGTTCCTTTTACTCATTCTGAATCAGTATTCATTTCTAAGAGTCCATGAAATATTGGGAAATTATGTGGGAGTGGGAATACTGAATGTATCCCCAAAATTGGTTGAGATGCAAAATTATCTTCTCTACTCTTTAAAAGTAAATTTACACTCAATCTAGGGTATCTTAAATATGCTGGTATGTTAAAACTTTTGTCTAAATTTTGCCTCAAATAAACATATTCCCCAAAATGAAATGAAGTGAATAAGAAATATTTTGACCCAAATGACCCAAGTCTTGATTTATTGATATGATATGAAGAGGAGATTAGACAAGTATGTGATATACTACATATCTGTATCTAAATTCATGATACTTACTTAATGAGCGATGATGTATGTATAAAAGTGGAAATGTATCCACTCTTTGTTCTTTCAGTAAGGTATTGTTATGCAATCATACATATTGTATTTGCAGCTGATGAATGCTATTCCAAATGTAAGTACTGTTCTTATGCAAATCTACATGATTGAATGGAAGACCACCTCTATTAGTGATTATAAATGTCAGAAATAAATAAATGAATAAATTGTGCATGAATCTCTTTCACTCAAATGTATTTTATATTTTTTTTGGACAGTCTTACACCACCATGGTTTGAAATGTGATGTTAGAGTTAGGAATGCTGTGAATGTATTAGGATTTGTTTTACCTATAACGTCAACTCTCTGACCAGAATATCATTCTTGTGTCAAATAAGAATTTGAATCAATCACTGTGCTCAGAACTGCCATTGTGTAGCGTAACAACCATTTTTTTTTAAAGCATAACATATTGGGAATATTTATTATGCATTTCAAGTACCTATGCAATTTTTTTTTCTATGGTTGAATTGATTCTCTTTCCATCTGAAGTGTTTCATAAGTTCCATGGACAGTTGTTTATCTTTTCACTGTGGTTTGAAATGTTATGTCATGCTTTGGACCAATTTTATCAAAATTAGCATCTGACCAGAATGTTCATATTAGAATTGGAATTAAATCCCTGTTCCCAGAACTGCCATATAGTAGCATAACAATAATGTGCTGCGTTTCAAGTTTGGGAATATGGTGTAAAATTGTAAGACAAAAAGATGTAAGTTTGAGTGGAAATGCATTCCTGAATATGTATCTTTTGACAAATTTGTATATATATGAGATAAGGAATATAGAAAATGGTATAGGAGATTGAATTTTTTATATTAAAATTATCATATTTTAGACTTTTTTAGACTATTTTTGACTTTTTCTTTTTCTTCAAAATAAGTGATTCCTTTTAAGAGGGATGCAGGGATAGTGAGATGTTATTAGATAGTAGGCAGAAGGGCATGTATTAGAGCATGGACCTACTACGAAAAGTAGGTCCATGATTAAAGCAAGAGTGAGAGAGAAAGAGAGAGAGAGAGAGATAGAGAGGGGAGACTGATACAGAGAGGGGGAGAGAAAGAGACAGAGAGGGGGGGGGGTGAATGACAGAGAAAGAGACAGGGGGAAAAGGGGTGAGGGTATAACAAAGAAAATAGAAAAAGGCAAGTACACAATATGATTTTGACCATTAATATCAGTAGCGGATTCAGGGGAGGGGGAAAGTGCCCCCCCCCCATCCCCCGTAAAAAAGGAGGGGAAAAGGGATGATAGAAAGAAGAAGAAAAGAGGAAGGAGAGAAAAGGAGGGGGAAAGGAAGAAAGGGGAAGAGAGAGAGAAGGGGAAAAGGAGAATAATGAGAAGGGAAAAGAAAGAAAGGGTGATGATATCATAAGAAGGGGCGTCGCCCCACCTGTCAGGATATTTTCGGTAAAAATTGTGCTGCTGTCAGGAAAAATGAGAAAAGGGGAAGGGGAAAAAAAAGAGGGAAAGAAAGGAAAAAGCAGAGAAGAAAGAAAGAAAAAGAGGAGGAGAGGAAAAGAAAGAAAAGGAAACAAAAGAAATGGGGGAAGAAAGAGAGGGGGTAGGAGCCTGAGAGAAGAGGGGTGGGAGTAAGAGAGAGAGAGGGGGGATGTTGGGTAGAGTCACCACGTCGAGGGGGCAAGAAAGATATACGCAAAGATAATTATGTTGCTGTGTCGGTCCGGTGTCGGTATTCTTGCTCGATCCTCGTGTAATATGTCAATGCAGAAGGTTGAAGTCGGTGAGATGTATTATGTCGGTCGGCCGGCAATTTTTTTCTCCTCCGAACTGTGACTTTTTATCGGACAAAGAAACATTTTTTTTTAAATTCAGACAATGATTAAGAGTCTGTACAACGAACCGTGGGGGGGGGGGGGGGGGGGACTGAATTCAGACATGGATTGAGAGTCGAAAATAGTACAACGAATCGTCTTCTTAGTAATTTAAAGAAACGTCGAGGCTTCCGCGCTCTGCTCGGGAGGGAGGCAACTGAATGCAGACAAGGATTAATAGTCAAAAACAGTACAACGAATCGTCTTCTTTCCCTAATATATTAAAGAAACGTCAAAGCTTCGCGCGGGAGGGGAAAATGAATTCAGATAAGGATTAAGAGTCGAAAACAATACAACAAATCGTCTTCTTTCTCTTATATTTAATGAAACGTCAAAGCTTCCGCGCTTTGCGCGGGAGGGGGGCAACTGAATTCAGACTAGGATTAAGATTCGAGAACGGTACAACGAATCGTCTCCTTTCTCTAATAATTTAATGAAACTTGAAAGCTTCCGCGCTTAGCGCGAGATGGGCGAACATGAATTCAGACAACGATTTTTCTATTCTGTTTTGTCCCATCCAGCAATCAAGATATTCATTACGCTCAAGGTCAGACCCTCTTCTTCTGCAAATCCCCCGCATCAATTCGAAGAAGGGTCAACAAAATATAATTTTTTCTGGTCCCACTATTTGGAATAGTCTCCCATTACGCATTCGTTCCTGCACCCCAGTATCAACATTTAAGATAAATCTCAAAACTTATTTATAATAATAGTGTATATTTATAAAGCGCATTATAAATTGTAAATTTCTCTACAGTTTTGTACAATCATAACAAATTTGAATATATAAACAACATTAAAACAACAATAAATAACAAAACAGATAAGCAAATGACAAAAAATATTTATGAGAAAGTTAACCAATTGATGCACCTATAATTACACCTACAAAATTAATTGACATTACATATAACAAATTGTTATTTTCAAAGTGTAATGCACTTGGAAAGCAAAATAATTATTCTGCTTTTATTTATTAAAGGGACTTGGTAACATTATTCAGATGAGAGATAGTGGTGCTAAGGTAGTGACTTCAATGCTAGATGTACAATTAAAGATAATCTGAAAATTTGAGTGAAAACGGACCATTATTCATGGTACAAATTGGGAAAAACTGATCTGATCGATTCCTTAATTTTCCCAACTAAATTATTACAATTTAATTACATTTTAGGTGACTGAATGGAAATCGTCACAAAGCAATAAAATGGCTTTATTACATTCCATCCCAGACATTTAAGTGTTGACAGATTTTTTATAGCCTGTTTTATGTCTTTTTTTTCATGGAAAAAGTTGGGAAAATTCAAAAATGGTTGGGAGAATTTAATGTTAATCACTGTTAAAGGGTGTCATACATTGACTCCTTCAAAGAAAACCATAGATATCTTTGTGGTTTGAGATTTTAAGAGGACATTTTTTTTTTTTTTTGTCTCAAAATTTTTACATTTGACATTTTGGTCCGTTGGGGAGGGGGGAGGGGCACGCCCCTGTTTTTCAGTATATTTCGGGCGAATTTAGGGCTGATTCTAACAAGAAAGAGGACAATTTTTTTTTTTTTTTTTTTTGGGGGGGGGGGGGGGACCCAAAAAAATATCGCAACAACTCAGCCAGCTGCTGAATAAGCGGGGGGGGGGGGGGGGGGGGGGTGGTAAGGGGACACTTTTTGATCTTAAAAAAAAAAAATTAAAAAAAATAACCAAGGGGGGGGGGGGGGTTCCTCAAAAATACACACATAAAAAAAACCAAAAGGGGGGGGGGTTTAACCCCCCAAACCCCCCCCTGCATACGCAAAAATACACACATAAAAAAAAAAAAAAAGGGGGGGGGGGTTTAACCCCCTAACCCCCCCCCCCCCCCCTGCGTACGCGCCTGTGCTCATTTGACCGTTATTAAATGCCTAAAACCACTGGGGTTACATGGGGCTACGCCCCTTGATCCAACCGGGGCTTTTCCCCTGAATGCCACGCCAATATACGCTCCGCTTGCTTTGCTCGCTTTACTCTACCTGATCATAAATACTTTAGCCCCCCCCCCCCCCCCCACTTTGAAGTAACATGTAAGAGTGGGGGGGGGGGTGATGCGTGTTTTTTTTATCTGCCCCCCCCCCCCCAAACGTTTTTGCTCATTACGCCAATGCTCTCTCGTCCCTCGCATTTCGTCCCGCGCCCCCCGGTCATGAAAAGAAATCTCTGCCCCTGCCTACCCATGTTTCTCTTGTGAAACTTAAATTTATCACTCATGGTTTTGTTTTAGAAATATCTTCACATGTACATTTCCAGCGCTGACTCGAAGGAAATTTATGCAACTCTTGGTTTGCACTTCCTGTCGATACAGTGCGCCTGCAGTCGGTTCGGAGCTCCGGGACTCTTAATCCACCGAATTTTGCCTGTTTAACCCTCTTGATCACTACCTGGTGTAATTTTAGAGCAGCTGATTGATTGAAAATAATATTCTAGCGGACAGGTAAGGATTTGACTCGAGGAAATCTTTATATCAAGAATGTATCTATAGTTTTTATTTCTTTACGGATTCGCACGATTGTCTAGCCCACAGGGCCTACGGGCAGCTGGATGGTAGGCCACGGAAGGTTATGGGCAGAGTAGAGCTGACGTGGCCGGTACTCCGTACCGCACAGTGAACACGAGTGGGGAGTGGGCGGGCCGGGTCGGTTTCATTCTTTATTGATTGTTCAGACAATAATGATAATTTTGAAGATTAATCAAGGCGAACCAAATTTCACAAGTCTTAATTATCTTCCTAGTCCTAGCATGCTAGAGTGCAATTCTTAGTCCATAAGAGTAAGACCATAGCCAGTTATTTATGAATTCCCTGGCTTGGCTAGCTTAACTTAAGTTAAGGGCTCCCTCGAAAAAAATGTTATGATATTTTTCGAGGGAGCCTTAATTTGCTCCCATAGGGTCCTACGGAGAGGTAGGTAAACAACATATAAAATGTGTCCAAAATCACACTTTCCCGCACCCGACCAATATTGGACAGCGGCTTTGATAAATTGTATGGGACTTGTGATCGTAATTACACCCAGAATATCATAATCAGAGGTAAAAATAACGAAATAAAAGCAATTTTCTTACCAGACCGATACAGCTTAGCTCCCTTTTCACGTGTAGCGTGTGAATTCACGATCTCTACCCAATGGTGATGACCTCTGACTGGCACTTCGTAAATGTGCTGCTTCCGTATAATGCGCTGAATAACACTCGTACAGCGCATTAAAAAGACGTACACGCAGAATTATGTTGTTATACTAAATTTAGCCAAACAGCTGTATCGCGCAATATGCAAGCATATGTATAGCGTACGCGACATGTGCCATTGACTAGTATGGCTAGCCTTTCACACAATAAACCCGGAATTGAATACACGTTATAGTCAATGGCAATATCGCGAAGACAATGCACGTTGTCTCCGTCACTTGCCATTGACTATAACGTGTATTCACTTCCGGGGTTTATGGTGCGAACGGCTATCCATACTTTCATTCACTATACGCGCAGATGTTACGTGATGTAACCATGGTTTGGACTGAATGGAGCTCACGCCACCCTAATTAGCTGATCCGAAAAATGTAGAGAAAGGTATTTTCAAACTGTAATCAGTTGTGATCCCTGGGGGCTAGCGAAAAAATAAGCGCATAGATATATTCCTTAGGACTGGGACTACATGTACTTATTGATCGGGGCGTCATATATCTCAAAAGTGACAAACCTCGGAGTTAGCCAGGACAATGTTTAAATTGCTGTTTTGACCAAGATATTTTTAGAATTTTGAGATGACCCCCCCTTTGGAAATATTGGAATTCACCTGCTCTTTCATATGACACCTCATTTATTAAGTATCACCTTCAGGATCACAACAGATAAAGGTTTGAATCTCGAATTGAAAAAAACAACTTGACTTTTTTGGCATGGTCTCGCAATGCACATAGACTGCATAGGGATGCGTGCAATCTCTAAGGGAAGAATTTTAGCACACAACATCGGGTG